GCATATAGAGCTCCTGCCCCTAAAAACGAGTCGACAAAGGAGGATGCTTTGAAGAATCAAGCGCCCATCATTGAGCTCGATCAGCCGGCAGTTGAAAACCAAGCCCTCCCAATGTTTAAAGCTTTTATTATTCAAACTTTACTCCGGCCTGCGTGCCGTTTTTTTTTTTTGTATCTTTACCTGACCAAGGGGTCGGGGTTATGAATATTTTGCCGGTCCTCATGGCCGGCTGTTTTTTGTTTGAACCCGGCAACCACGTTTTGGTTGCCTTTTATCACAACATCTTGTTTGAATGCTATATCGACTGTTTTTGTATGCTCTCTCTTCTCTCTTTTTTTTTTTTTTTTTTTTTGAATTTTGTAAGCCAAGTTTATCAAATACTGACTGCCTATGCCCCTAGACGACTTGTTGTCTTGGCTCAAGATTGGCAACCAGTCGGCCATGTATCCAGTCGGTTTCCCAACGTATTTTAAGAATCACGTTAGGTTTGCTCAACTTTTTCAAGTTTAAAGATTGGATCAGTTGGCTTGGCGCCTGGACTGACCATCCGGCCATAGGCCTTGTTTAGTTCAGGGTGAACAAGTATAGGAGAGTAGCCGACTATAAAGTTACAGGCGGCATGCCCCTCTGAAATAGTACAAAGTAAGGAAAATGGAGAGTAGTCGTCTGCCCACGGAACAGTCGGCATGCCTCTCTGTTTAAAATATAGATGAAGCAAATTTTGCTAGTTTTATTAGCTGCTCTCGGCAATTACATAATTCAAAAGTAATACTTCTTTAAATTATCTACATTCCAATTTCGAGGTAAGGGTTGGTCGTCTGGTGTTTCCAGGCGGTAGGTGCCGTCCCTAATCTCTTCATAGATTCGGTAGGGTCCTTCCCAGTTGGGAGTTAATTTGCCTGACTCATTAGCCCTACCGACTGCTTCCATCTTTCGCAGTACAAAGTCCTCCACTTTGAGTGGACGCCTATGTACCCTTTTGTTGTATGCCCTTGTCATTCTCAGGCGGTAGATTTTATGGTGAAGGGCTGCATTGCCCCTCCGCTCTGGGAGTGAATCCAGTGTCAGGCGCATGGACTCCCAATTTGCCTCTTCGTCATATAACATTATACGAAGAGTCGGCTCGTATTGTTCAATTGGTAGAACAGCTTCTGCCCCATAAGTTAGGAGGAATGGAGTCTCTCCAGTCGCCCCTTTTTCAGTCGTCCTAATGGCCCAGAGAACGTGTGGTAGTTCATCTTCCCATAGGCCGCCTGCTCGTTCAATTTTCTTCTTGATACCGTCTGAGTTGATTTTATTGAAAGCTTCTACTTGGTCGTTTGCTTGTGGTCGGCCTACTAACGGCGCCAAAATGTTTCGGGGTTTTTTGATGTCCTGCGGGAGAGTTACAATTCCGGGACTGGTATCCTTGCGCATGTACCTGCAAAACAACGAAGACTCCTTGTGGTGGGAGTTCCGCCTCTGACGGTCAAGTTAGTACTTGTTTGAGGAGTAATAAGTGCGGAAAAGTAAAGGTAGGAGATCCGGTCCCTCAAGGTGAGGAGTGATCAATGTGTTTAGGCTTCTCTAGGTGAGAGTAATTAATTGTTGAGTCCCGTTTAATGAGGATTAATTAATGTATTTATAGCCTTGGGAAGCGTGCCTAATTCTAGGGTTTTTGGTAAACCCTAGATCCGACTGGTCCAAGCTGGCAATCAATAGGCCATATGGCGTGGCTTGACTGGTCAATGGTGGACAAATGGCCGGGTGCCACGTGGCAGGCCCTAAGTGGTCCAAATGGAGGACACTTGGCAGGACCTGATTGGTCCACATGGCGTACACTGATTGGGCGGGGAAAAACCCCCTAATCAATATCCAAATGAGAAGCGGTTTGGCGCCAAAACCGCTTCCCATTACCTTCAAATGGGAAGCGGTTTGAACCGCTTACCATTTAAAAGGGCAATCGCATGCCCCCCAAGCCCAAGCGGTTCAAATCCGCTTCCCATTAGGGGGTTTAATTAAACCGCTTCCCAAATGCTTTTTTCTACTAGTGTTAAGGCTTGAGAGTTTGGGGGAAATTAAGAAAATGAGAACTGAACTATTGAAGTGGAAGTCCCGATTTCTTTGAAAAAAAAATTAAAAAAAGGGGTTGAGAGGGTTCGAACCCCTGACTTCCTTGTAAGGGATAGAAGGACGCGCACCAAAAACTAACACTGGGATGCACGCTAACATGTTGCTATATTCTACGAAAATATTCTATTTAACCCTTTTTTAAAAAATCTTTTAATTTTTTTTCAAACAATCAATGAGGGTTCAATGAACCCACTTGAACCCTCCCTCTATATGTCACTGGTATGAAGACCCTCTTTGGGATACAATGGTAAATGAACAAATGCATGAGTTCACATCTTCAAAATTTTCCAAGTATGAGACAAAGGTGTGTGCAAATGATCATGAAGCATCAAGTTCAAAACCACCATCAAAGTAAGTATATTATGCATAATGTATAAAGTAGTTTATGCATAAACTCTCAAAAAGTGTCACGATTTAATTTTGTAGGCAATTGAGACCTTATTTTGTCTTTGTATTTCCCTTTTTTAGACTTGAAGTTAAACTTTTTGATTGACAGTTGTTTGTATGCAAAAGTTGCCTAATATTGAGTAAGAATGAATGATGAATTAATGGAATTCATACTTTTGGAGTCAAAACTTTGTTTGTGGTTGTATTTTTGGTCTCAGATGTCCCCATTCATCATTGAACATCATCCCTACAATCAACAATATCTGCCTAAAGCTCTCAAACAACCTACATCAAATAGACATAGGTGGAATCTAATGGCAAACTTTTGTTGACTAACATATAGGATGACCGTCTGACATTATTGACTTTCATCATTGAGAAAAACCAAAAAAGGGACAAAATTTATGCAAATGGAAGATTCCCAAAACTTAAAATGCTATATGTTCCTTCAATGGATGGGGTGTTTGATCACTCTTATGACACTATCATAGAGAGCCAAACACTCCACCTACTGAGGACACACAAACATTCAACATTTAGCCTCAGTTTGCCCCATTAATCATTGACCCAAATCCCATATGAGCAACAGTTCTGCCTAATTGACCAATTAGTCAACACTCAAACTTAGTTTAAGTGGACATGAACAATGACAAACAATGGAGTCACATGTACAATTTTGGGGTCTCATTATTCAGGTTTTCATCATTGACCTTTTTTTCCAAATTGATAGAATATGACTAGAGAGCATGAGAATATTTTTATGGTGAACTAATTTGACTTACAAGTATTGTAGTCCAATTATCAAATTAAGCACAAATCACATAAACATGATGATATAATCAACCATAATTAGATCCAATTATCAAAAGAAACATATGCACATATCAACATATCAAGATAACCAACCATAATGACAGCAAATCACCAAAAGAGTCACATATGCTCATATCAACAAATCAAGATAATCACATCTAAATTAATCACAATCAACTTCTAGTCAGCAAATAGAACCATAAGAATTTATATTTCCATATTTTAACCTATTTCCCACTATTCATTCAAACAACACATAATTCTCCCACCCAGCAACAGATCACAGGTGTTGGAATCCAGTAAATAGTCAACTAACCTAATAACATGCATTAAATAATCGAAATATTCAGTAACAAAGAATTAGAAAGCTTAGCTATGTGATTCACAAGAATCACTTGCATATCCATCAAATGCATGACAGTTTGGGTCACTAACATAATCATCAACATGATGTGCACCGCTTCCACCAACAACAGGGTCTCCGATCCGCCATGAACTTAAACAGGGGACTTGGGGTTCAGCACCATCTCTAGTTTCCTAAACAGGAAGGGGAAGTTTTTAGTCAACTTCTTCCTCGTTCAGGGTTTCATTAGCCATAACGCCACCATTTGCCTTTCCACCACCATAAAATACGGTGGGGTATCCTGAATAAACCCAAATACCAAACTTATCCCTCAACACATTAGGGCTATAACTGTGATCAGATCACCGTACGTAACAAGCCGACATCAAAAGACAATCCTTATCAGGTCACTGATAGGTATCGGACTGAGAACCATCATCACCAGCAAAAACCTCGTCTAGGTCAACATTTGGATTGTAAGGAACTGATTTCGACATGGTATAATGAAGATCGAACAAAGAGAAGAGCAAGAAATGGGGACAACACCACAAACAATATCAAATTTTCTCGAAATATATGTAAAACCATCAATGGAAGGCAAAATCGACTCTAAACAAACCAAATCTGGACTTTTAAGAGGAGAGAGAAAATGAACAGTGCTCAAGATTTTTCCAGATCTGCTCTGAAATAGGCAACCAAATTCAAAATTTTTTGAGGGCAATTGTAAAGGGGACAGTGACAAACAGAAAAATCGCAAATTCAAGCAACAAACTTGAATTTAATCGCAAGATCTGAAGAGATCGAGGGAACAAGAAAAGCGAAGGTTGAAGAAGAAGTATCCAGAGGAGCTTATAGAGAGAGAGAAAAAAAATGATTGTTGGTGTAATAATGGTCAAATAGAGTTGGCTCATAAATGTAACTAACTCAAAGACCAAGGTACAATTGTCCCCCACAAAATACCTCCACCTCAACAAAAAATGAGGATAATTTCGTCAATTAATAATTGTGAGATAAGGGTATTGTTGTCCAAAAATATAAAGATTCTCTAATACGCTAGGAGGATCATTTTAGGACACCCAATATGGTATATTTGTCTGTAATTATGGAACGGAGGGAGTAATTAATTTACACCTGTGCCCTACCAGGTCCTATGATAGCTCCGCCGCTGCATTTATCATAACCCTTTCCCCTATTTATTTAAATTATTTCCATTCCATTTACGTCTCCAAGGCCTCCAACGAACTATTCATTTAATTATTTGCACATTCTGTTTCCTACACACTATTTTTAAGAGTGTTCTCAAACTTATTAAAGAGTAAGGAAGAAATAAAGTAATCATTGTGAATAATTTCTACAAATTAGTGGTCCATATTATTTAGCTTTATGCAGGATCCAATACCAGTACACAGCATGTAGTATAATAGATAATTTATCACTAATTTAAAACGCAAAGTATACGCTAATCATGAAAATAGTCAAAAAAAATCCTCTATAACATAAGATTAGAATGGTTGGAAAAATTATTATAACATGTATAAACTCATAAATAACATACAGAAATATTAATAAAATATAACTAAGGCTCTTGCTTTAAGAGAAACGAAGGAACCACATCTTGCAAAAGCCCATAATCCTCCGTTTGCAACTGTTGATGGTTATGTTGTTGTTGATGATGATGATAATGATTACGTTGTTGGAGACGAGAGAAGTGTGGGAAGGATGAAACACTAGCACTCGTACCGCCGCAGTGCCCCAGTTGAGCTAGTAATTCTTGAGGGATGTTGGATGATGACAAAGGTTGTGGCGGACGTAGTGGTGGTGCTAGCATGGAGTAATGAGGGAGGGGCGCTGCAGCATGACCTCGTAGCGTGGCCGGAACTGCGTGGTTGTGCTGACCCTCGTAGGTTGTGATTACAGTTGAGGGTTCTTGGAATGATCGTTCTACTCTTTTCTTCACTGAGCAAGTTTGTGTTGTGCACCGATAATAGCTTCTGAAAACATTTACAAGTATACGACCTTCATTTATTAAAATACAATATGTGTGTATATAATGGATTATCTAATATAAGCTCAAATAGAGTTGTTAATTAAGCTCAAAATATATATATATATATATATATATATATATATATATATATATATATATATATATATATATATATATATATATATATATATATATATATATATATATGTTAAATAAGCTCACATAAATTAAGTGAAAAATTCATTCTCAAAACAAGATAAATCAATGAAAATATAAAGAAACATAAATTGCTAAATGCCACAAAAAATTACTCAATTAGACTTGGCTTGTTGCACTTTTCATCAGTAAATGTAAATGAGGCTTTATTTGAGGCTAAGAGTGTTTTATTTACCTAAATTTTACTAATCAATATTTACATGAACATATTTTAGCTTATCAATAAACCTTACAAATTGAATTTGGATAACCCTTATTATCCTAATCTGAACTTATTTTGTTGAAATTATATGAACATATTTTTCTTAAAATAAGAGAAAATAAAGTAAACAAAACAAGGCTGATTGCCCGCACCCAATACCAAGCTTTAATTATATTATAAAGTATGATTTTATATTTTTAAAAAGCATTATTATTATTATTACTTACATACGTGAATCATGATATTAATTATAGTCAAGATCTTAGGAAAAAAGCACCTCTCAAAAATAATAATCTTGGGAACAAAGTAGGGAGAATGGAGATGTAGTAGTTTGTTGGGAAAGGAAAAAGATGTGGGCATGGGAATTGAAAACGAGAAACCCTTGTTGACCGTTGTTATAATTGATTAATGGAATTTGGAATTGAGAGAAATGGTCCTTGCGTATTTCTACAAAGAAATGGTCCTTGCTTATTTCTACTAACTCAATTATTTCTAGATTTTTTAGCAAATTGCAGCGGAAACTCGGCATAGTCCACAATCACTATTGAAGATTTTAATATAGTGTTGTCATGCATACTCTCTTAACTTTTCTTCCTCTTTTCTACATTCTCTTTGATCAAACACTTATAAACTATGCACAAATTTATACCATGAGGGTGATGCATGGCTATGTATGGTTTGATTTTGCTGATTACGGGGGTTGCCATACTTTTTTCTGCAACCGCCGGTTGCTATACATTTTTAACAACCGGCCTTGGTGTAGGAAAGCAAGTTTGGCTTGGGCGAGATAATGTTGAGGAAGCTAAGGTGAGGATAGGGAGAAATTTTTAAGGATTATTTTGCCATACATAAGACTAAAGAAATCTAGGGATTTGAAAAAAGAGTAAAGGAGAGAGTGAGGAATTGAATAGCTCAGGCGTTTAGAGCTTCCCTTCCAGTTTTACTAATATTTTAGGGGATCCTGTAATCAGTTCTCAATACCTGCCTTGTGGCTTTCTAAACACTAAAAAAAGGAAGTATAGGAGCTTTTAGTGAAATTGTAATAAACAAAATGAAGGAAAAAAATGTAAAATTAATTAAGATGGTACTAGATTAAATTTAAAGTTATTTAATAGCTAGAAGCAAGGTAGAGCAAATGGTGGAATGTAGTGTATTGGCTTGTGGCAACTCCTCATGAATTTTTAGTGTAAGATGATAGGGTGATATCTATAATAAGCTATCAAGAAAGTGTGAGAAATTAAGGTATGCATTATACTTTTTACTTGATTTATATACTAATTAAATTTTATTTGGGCTCGGACAATGCTTAGGGTAATTACTTGAATATAATTTAAGTTGTATACTACGTGAGTATTATACATGTATGTCGTAATGAGTTCTTTTTATATTACATATCTTAATATATTATTTTGAAAGTATAACATGACATGCAACATAGTATAATGGTTAAGACTTCATTTTTTACATTTGAGTTCAATCACAAGTTCATATATTGTTCAGTACAAGTTTCCAAGATTTAAACATACAAAGATTAGATGAAAATGAAAAGCTCGTTGAATTATTAAGGATATATGACTTGCTTAGAAACACTTTCTAATTATATGTTAGAATTTGGATGCATGTCAATTTATAAGTTAGATTGATCTTAATGTATATTTTTAAAAATAATAAATTTTTTCTAACATGTTATTAATGGCCAAACTGTGTTGACATGTGTTAAAGTCAAAATTAACATGCTATAAAAATGAAAAGAAAACAAAATTTTATTAGTTATATTTTAGATGGGATGATTATATAAAAAGATATTATTGGTCTTTTAACAAAAATGATGAGTTATTGAAATAAAGTTTATAATCTTTTATGTATTTTTTTCATTCCTCTCTTTAAGGAAAAATTTCAGAACCTTCATTTTGAAGGTTTACCTTTTATGCTGTTGACTTTGTAAAAGTTTTAGCTTTAATATCTCCAATTATGGAATTTACTAAAAATTACGAAGTATTTGATGTCGAATGACTATTTATTTATTAATAAATTATTTTAAGTATTTAGAAGAAGAAATAAAGATCCACTTGAATCAAAATTAATAAGATCTAACATTTTTTTTTTTTTTTTTGAAAATGATAAACATAGCCCTTAGAAGCTAAAAAAGGAAATATTGAGGATAGATTAACATTAATTACACCAATTTGCACATGATTTTGTCATGAATATTCAACTTAATTCCATTTTAGGATGTATATATAGTGCTTATATATAACCCTAAGGGCTACATATATCATTACCCCTTTTTTTTCTGATGCATAAAATATAAATAATGGTTAATATAAAGTTTGTAAATAGTGTCAAAATTCAATATCAATATTATTGTAAAATAAAAAATCGAAATTTAAAAATAGTACTTAGATGAAAGCCTACCAAATCCTAGGGTTAATGTATAACTCAATTTCTTATTGGAAATTGATTTACATGCTTACCAATAAGAAAATCTTGTCCCAATTGTTATTAAATTTGCCTAATAGCTAAACCATTATCTATATATTAGAATTCGGTTGGTTTTATATATATTAATATTGTATATTTGTCAAGTTTATCTTGTTAGGAGTTTTAGGCAAGTTAGGTCTCTTGTATTGTGTATACAAATTTATCGTAATTATCAATGTAAGGCTAAGCCGTTTTCTCCAATTATTTCTTGTGTTTAACACTATATATATAATAATGAATTAATATTATAATTCATCAACTTCATAATAATTGGATTTGTACCCTATTGATGAATCAAATTTAAACACGTTAGCTAGAGTGATAAAATAGGTTTGCATAAATTCAAAAGATAAGCAATATAATTTGTACACGGAACTAATCTTCTCCTTATCAGCGCAACTTTATCCCTACAACTAGCAGCTAGCTTAGGGTGTCCTAACTCCTAACATTCATAAACTTGTGCCGTTTTTTGCCAAATGAAACAAAAAAAAAAATTATTTGCTTTTCAATTAGAAACGTGGAACCATTACAACAACATTTTTGCATGTGTACAAATAAAGAATTGATGCTTGCACCAATTTACAAAAATCGAATTGATATAGACGGAATTTATCTGGCATATTACCACCTTCAAAAAGTTATACGACTAGATTTTTAAAAACGAAATATATTAATTTAAACATCGAATTCAATTATTATCAAATTAAAAGTACTAGCTCGATTGGTAATGCCTTCTCATAATATTTGAGAATTACAAGTAACGGTTCTAAATTACAATAATCCACATAGTAATGTGAATAATTTGTCAACATTTGCTTTAGAACATGTTAGTCACTGTACTACTAGTCTACTATATCATTCAACATATGTTATGATCATTCAAATATTTTGTCTAAAGAAATTACCTAACATGTTTACTTCATTTTTATGAACACATATTATACTTTGTAAGAATAATATAGCATTTTTATCATCATGAATAATTCGATCATGAATAAAAATTCTCATACTTGAAAATGATCAAACTAATGTAATTAAACATTACGATGTGAAAACGCGTTTAGATACCAGCTAAATATAGTACTTGAAACTTCCAAAAGTGGGGAAGGCAAAGAAAAAAGAGAAGGAATGCTTATTAGAATGATTAGATGTGATAACATACCTAGGATAAGGACTATTCTTGACGGCTTTCTGCCCATATTTTCTCCATCTATACCCATCTTCAAGATTATCAATCTCACTCTTCGTCATGAACGCGAATCGCGGCTCTCTTTCCTTCTTTCCCCCCTTCTTCTTTCCCTTATTAGTCCTGTCCATGATACATTGATCAATCTATTTGCATCATCAAAATATAGTTACCTACTTATAAAATGTGTCGCGAAGGGTAGTGATGTGGAAAGGGTATGATCTAGTGTTAGGTCGATCTAGAGCAAGGCATAGTCCTAATACTTTAATGACTAATCTTGCTTGATGGCATCTTCATGCATGTCAAGTTATTAATTTATTAATTTGCATCGTCTATTTAATGGATACTCATGAATTCCGGTGTAATTTTCAAAAGGATAAAAAATTATACTTCCTCCATCTTTAATAATTCATTAAGTTTTGAAAAAATAAAATAAGAGAACTTTTAAAGACGAAGGGAATATTAAGTAAACTCGTCATCCCTAATTCTTACTAGTGTCTGTAATGGGAACAAATATGAATGGTCCAAGTTTAACCAACAACCTCTATGCATCACGCTATATGAAGTTTGTTCCTTAGATTAATTTGTCAAAGATGGGTTGCTCTGAATGTTTCATCACATGTCTTAACCTTTTCTTTTGCTACATAATTAACATCAACACACATGAACTTAAGTATATTAATTATTTTGAAGTGGTAATAATAATTTTCCATCCCTAGTCAAGTTGAAGAAAATACAATTAATTCAAGATCTTATATCATAAGTCTTTAACAAATATGAGCATAATAAAAAGAGATATTTTTTTTTATGAAAAGTTTTTTATTCCCTTTGGTCAAGTTACCTAACTATATTAATTAAGGAATTAAAAATCACTAATTATATACTCTACTTCTTTACCAAATGAAGTGTTAATGAACATACCCTTGCTTTAACTCATCTTGATCATCAACCGCTTTATTAGGGTGCTGCTTATTATCTTTCTTCCCAACTGAACCATCATCGGCGCCACCGGCTTCCGTAGAAGAGGAAGAGATGGAAGAGTTAGGAGTGCTAGGATTGCCCCCATTTCCAACAACAACACCTGCCGCTGCCTCCTTTTCTTTGGCCATTGCCGGGTTTTCGTCGACAACGGAGGAAAACACTTCAGAGGAAGTAGGGGATACCCCTACGCTCTTCGCGAGCGTAGGGTAATCCATAGAAGAACCATGTAAGAACTCATTAAAGTTGTAATAAGTATCATCATTATTAGATGGATTATTATTATTATTATCTACACAAGGTGTATTAAAATTATTAGGGTTATCAAAAAATGAGAAGAAATTAGTATTGTCTAATATAGATTGATGATCTTCATTAGACATGGAAGAGTGATTATTATAGAGATTATGATGGTAATTAGTTGCTTCATTAGACATGGAATTGAATTAAGTATGAAATGTGTGTAGAGAGAGAAAGAAGGGTTTGACTAAAAGAATGAATTATATTGTTTTTAGGTTTGGTGTTGAAGAAGTATATAATGGAAGAGAGAGATAATAAAGAGATAGATAGTGTGGTTGGTTAATAATATTAGAAAATGAGGCAAAATAAACTTTATATAAGGTAAGGTTTGACAAAATAGAGTTTGTAATTAAAAGGGCTAAAAATGTCCTTTTTAGTTTTTCTTGATTGGAATTTTATGTGAGGTGTATGATTGAACGTATAATGTAGATTGGTATGTAATGTAACTTGTATGGCCGAAATTATTAAATTTGATTTTATTCAATTCTCTTGACAAGCTATGACGAGGTCTTTACTCTAAAAAGTGCCGGTCCTTGTATTCTTAGTTTTCATACAACACGTCATTACTCGTTCTCGAATACGTACTACTTCATCCATTTCTAAATACTTGTATTGTTTATTTGGAAGTGAATTAGTGTTGTTTCCTATTATACATTTATATTGTCAAATAGCGTGCAATTTATAATGTGTGTATCAACTATTAGTTGTTTAAAATCGCTTCTAGTCTACAAGGTCGTGAGACATATCGGTTTTTAATTAGTTTAAACTTTTTACTTCTTTAAAAATGTATTTATTTATATATTTCAATAATCAATAATTAATAACTTTATATATTAAAAGACACACACAATTACACGTATCATCTCCTGTTGTGTCTTTAAACTTTTTTTTTTTTTTAAAAAAAAACTTTAATATTTTCAATAATATAGTAATTACTTAAAACAAAAGATTTAATATACTCCATACCTTTTAACATACAAAGATACTCCATAATAATTTTTTTTTTCACGAGTACTCCGTAACAATTTTCATAAAACTAAAGTTAGTGATCTAAGATGTTTTATTAAATGTTGTCAAGCTGATTAAGAATAATTTTAATAATAACCGTGCATGACATGGGATCTAAACTAGTATTAGTGACACTTCTTTATTGAGAGTGAGGGATAGCTCAAGGCCTCAAGTGGTTAGAGGTTCCTTCCCGATTCCAAGAGATCTTGATATCGATTCATATCACCTCCGCTCTTGTGGCTCCCTTAAAAAAAATTAAAAAAAAATTAAAAAAAATAAAAAAATTATAAAAATCTATATCAATATATTATATCAAATAAAATACAAGAGTGTCTTTCTTCAAATAAAATAAAATAAAATAAAAATACAAGAGTATCTTGCGCAATTTATGGTTAGTCTTCAATTATTTATAATTCAAAATTGCTTCTTCTGATCTTTAATTGATTCAAAGATAAGATATCAAAGGAAAGATAATATATAGTTTACAATTAAATTGAAATATTTTTTAATGTCCTCTATATTATATTTTCTTGCAATGTGATCGATTTGATGTTAGGCTAGCCTTAGCAAAAACTTTGATAGCTTACGTCGTGTATGGATTGAAGAAGCTCCTATTGATGCTTTGAACCTTGTAATGGCTGACATTATGTCCAACTAATAAAGCTATCCTTCTGCTTTGTGTCCAAAAAAAAAAATTAAAAAAAACTCATAAATAAAAACTCATACGGCATCTGCAAAGAGATTTATATTTAACAAATACTTTTAGTAAAGCTACGATCGTTGTTACAAATTGTATATTCTTCATACCATCTTTCACATTCTTGTGATTTACAACCTTCTTCAGCGAGGGGTCTATCAATCTATTGTAAGGCGTGAAAAAAAAAAATCATATGATTGTAATCGAACATTTAACCTCTTTTTTTATCTCGCACAAATCTTTAACAATGAAGCAACTCTATAGCAAATTATCAAACAAAAAAAAAAAAGGAAATCCTCCCTTATAAGAGAGAAGAAAAATCTCTTTCTTATAAGAAAAATCCTCCCTTATAAGAGAGAAAAAAAACTCATAGGGATAACATGCTAACGCCATGTGTCACCTTTTTATTCAATATGATTTGGTGCAACATGTGCGCCATGTGTCACCTACGCCCTATTTAAATTTGATATATCTTATATGTAGTATACATTAATGAAAGATAATATAGAGATTATTACATAATTCATTCACTTATTAATATTGTTTAATATTAACCCTTCTTTAAACAAACTTATAAATTTATGATGTACCAAGGCATTATCCGGACCAATAACTAGTTATAAACCTAAAACAAACAAAAATAAAGAGAAAAGACACACACACACACACAAAAATAAAATAAAAAAAAAAAAGAAAAAAAAGAGAGAGAGATTGGGGCTGTCAATCGGTAACAACCGATTGAAGCTCCTCCAAAATTTAACAATAGAGGCTAGGGTTTTGGAGAGAGGAGAGGGGAGAAAGGAGAGAGGGGTCGGGAGAGAAATATTCAATTTTTTATTTTTTTGATGAGATCGAAGTGCTCACATATCATTAAGCATTAGCAGAGTCAAAAACAAGGGCAGAGTTTACATTAGTAGGGGCTTCTTCGAGCCATACACGCTTCTCTACAAAATTCTATTTGAATATTCAATGTTGTTGCTAACATGCTAACGACATAGGCAAAGAGATTTAAAAATAATAATACATATCAATTGATTAAAATTAAAACATCCTTTCAGAAAAGTTACAATCGTTGTTGCAAATCGTACGTTCTTAGCTTTATACTCATTTCATATCGTTGTGATTTACATCATTTTTCAGCGAGGGGGATTTGTTGATCTGTTGTAGCTGTGACGAAGAAAATAATTGTCTGACTCATCTAATTATAATCGAAAAATTAACCTCGATTTCGATCTTGTATAAATCTTAGGTTTACCCATCCAACAACTTGTACTATACTAAACTCAGATGACCAAACTTGAACAAAACCCACAATAAGGGCACTTACTGCACTCAACGAATGTAGTTTCGTTGGATTGATAACATAAATAGATTTTGGCTATTTTCATCCTATGAAACAATAATTTTGAAGAACATTATAAAGTTAAAAGGAGAGAAAGGAGAAAGGGCAACTAGGATTTTTGATGCAGAATGTTAGATGTCATTTATTGATGTCGTACGACGCAACTTTTTATTAATACTAGGGTGGCTCGTGCGCGTCATACCTAACCATATCTGTAATACCCTGGAAATTTCCTTCCTTTAAAATACTCTTTTTACTCTACATAAAACCCTTTTTAGGAAATAACCAAAATATTACCGCCACCGTGATAACGGCTAAGACAAATTTTCAAAGTCACACAGCGGAAGTCTAAAACATAAAAACCAACTTTCAAAATAAAACTTGAGTTCACAACCTCAAAACAAAAGTAGAATATGACATTCACAAGTTGGAACCAATTCAAACATGGTCCTTCTTAAAAACCAATTAAAAACAAACATAATATTGTAAGTCCATAAACAATAATCAATCATTCAAAAATATTAAAAACTAAGAAACATAACAAGTAACTCTATGCACTCTATCCCATCATGCTCTTCATGCTTGAAATACCTATTACTTCCTCTTTTTTTCAACTCTCTACTCACCATAAAAATGGGTCATAGTAGGGTCAATCCAAGGGAAGCCAAACACAAACAACAAAGTACGAATAAGAAAAGCTGAGTACATATGCACCACACTAACATGAATATCCTAGCATCAAAATAAAAACAATAATTAAAACATGCTCGCCACACAATCACAAGTCAACTTACCTTTGACTCATAACTAGCAATATTAATTATTAATAATAATTTTGGATTACCATCGAACGGGTTTTCTTCCTTGAAAATAGCCCATTTAAATATTGAGCTTCCAATCAGGGAGCTACCCCAATTAGCACTTGCTATGTCACCTTGTGACGGAATTCCAGCGCATTAATAATAAAAGAAAGTACAACACCTTGTCCTCCCATATGTTCATACTCAAGGTATATACGTTCCAAAAGTTTTGGTGCATATCCTCTTACACTTTACGTGATTTACCAATTTAACTCGTGATGAATCAAACCAATCCATCAAGAACAAACATAATAACATTCCATACAAACTTCCGATTCATTCTTGAATTAATTAATGAGCACATACTATTTATCTTAATTAAGGTTCCTTGCCTAATTTGTGCACAAAAGTGCACGATTACTACCTTGGTGCATAAAATGCACAACTCAACTTCCTTGACTCGACTCAACTTACATGAGTGAGTAAATAAATAGATTAACTTCTTGACTCAACACTAATAATAAATGGGTGAGAAATAAATTCATGAATCATGCTCAATAATCCTGATTTGCTCTTTAATTCATATATAAGCCTTGCTTATTAAATACATGCCTTCTTGATACTTGAAAATAAAACATACTTCCATGATTCATACTTACTCAACTCGTATCATGCCTCAAATAATATATTCACATGCTTGTATAACAAATCATGTTCAACCAACATCAATTCCAAGCATATAATCAACCAAACATGCTACTAATTCATCACTTAAATCATACTTTACAAATCCTAGCATGATACTACGAATACACAAATATTCTTGTGCATATACGTACCTTGAAAAACGCCTAAACTCGGCCACACTCGCTAGAAATCACCTAGCTCGAAGCTTCCTACAAATAAGAATACATAACTATAATTAATCTACTATTCTCACAAATCTCCAACAACTATAATACTCTTTAAACCTTACTAATTAACCCAATTTAATGACATAAAAGCCATAAAACCTTTTATCTAAGTGGGTACTTCAAATCTTTTCAAAAAGCTTTATGACTTAAATAAAATTCCAGCATACATATTTAATGTAAAACATCACTAATAGACTAGGAAATCATATTTAAATCATTAAAACCTTATTCCCTTTTATAGGTAATCAAACCCTAACTCAATAATTAAAAAGTAGTGTGCATAGATAAATTTCGGCATTATTTGAGGGCTTTAAACTCATTAAAAACATGTTTAAACCATTAATTAAACAACAACAACCTAGAATCAACCCCTAACCATAAACATTAAATTCCCAAATTCTAGGGTTTGTAAATTGGGGTTTTTGATTGAATAAAAATCTGAAAATTATATAAATAATTTAACAACATCAAATACTCAAATCAATACCAAAACATAATCAAAATCATGCTTTAAATCAATAAAAACAATAGAATTA